GGGAACCTGGGGGTGGGGATAGAAGGGGATGGGATGGAAGGGGATGGGATGGACGGGGAATTCGGGGTGAAGTGTCGGAGGAACCCGCGGTGGTGGGGGTGAGGCACACGAGGGATGTGGCAGGAAGGGGCGTTTGGGTCGAGGGGCTGCGTACAGGGAGGGAGGAGAAGGAGGGAAGCTTGGAGAAGGCTGCGGGGGCGGTTGGCTTCGAGGGGGAGAGTTTGGTCTTCGTGCCATGAGGAGGAGAGTTCTTCCCAAAGTGTTTTGACTGAGACTTATCTGCATCCTCAGCCCATCCAGATATCCCCCCCACGCACTGTCTCTGGCTGTGTTCTGCTCTCTTGAGGGCACCGTCTGATTCCTGCCTTGCGCTCTCTCCCCAGGCTATAAAATCCCTGTTATTGAGAACTTGGGTGCCACTCTGGACCAGTTTGATGCAATTGATTTCTCTGACAATGAGATCCGTAAACTGGATGGGTTCCCTCTCTTGAGAAGGCTGAAAACTCTTCTGATGAATAACAATAGGATTTGGTAAGTGCTTGTATTTTGGCCAGATGGGACCCTGGGGCAGAAGAAAATGCTCTTGGGAGAGATGTGTGCATGCGTTTTTCAGTGCAGGTAGGTGCAGAATTGTTTGTTTTATGGGGGAAAAAAATAAGCACTGATTACTGCTTAGGCTCTCTTTAAGTCTCTTAGCAAAAATTTATCCCGGGTCAGTCATCATTTTTTAGACAGGACAACGAGATGCAGAGTTTGAAATTTGGCTGGAACTTTGGATTTCAGTAATGATCTGGAAAAAGATGAGAAAATGGGGATATCTGCAAGCAAATGAGCAGAAATCCCAAATTGTATCTGATACTCTTGCAGTGACGGCTGGTATTTATTGCCAGCTTTATTAGAAAAAATATTGTAGGAGTTGCTAACCCAAACTTCTGCCAGTGTCAGACCGGGTTGTTTTACAGGAAGATCCTCTCTGTCATTGTATTTCTGTGTGTCTTTTCACCATTGCTAATTTCGGGCGTAAATTAAACCTTTGTTTTTTCTTCTTCTTTAGCCGAATTGGGGAAAGCCTTGAGCAGGCTCTGCCCAGCCTGACGGAGCTCATTCTTACCAACAACAACATTGCAGAATTGGTAAGCCATGGATGCAGGATAAACCTAAACAAGCTTAAATTTTTCTGATTAACCTTTTTCCTGAGAGGAGTGTCATATCCTTTTGGTTGGTACTACTGATCTTTCCAATGAGCCTATTTTTCTTTCTCTTTAGAGTAGTATCATATGATACTAATGAGCCTATTTCTAATGAGCCTATTTTTCTTTCTCTTTAGAGTAGTATCATATGGGTTTGCTGGTAGTTAGTGGTGTAAATATTTTAATGAAAATAATTTGCAGCATGCAATGGAACAGCACCCACAAAGTCTCAGTGGTTTTCTGGTTAAACTAATTGCAGTAATTCTGATTGGTCTCTAAAACAGATATGAGTTTAGGAACTTTGTTTTCAAACGTTTGATTCTCACTAAACGGACTTACAAATGCTTACTGTGTTCTCATTTTATAGGGTGAACTGGATCCATTATCAAGTATTAAATCACTGACTTACCTGAGGTATGTCATCTTGAAAAGTAAAGCTACTCTTTTCTCTGCTTTTCAAACCCTGCTGCTGGCCCTGTCTCTTTGCTTTGATCTGGAATGCTCTCCTTTTTAAGAGCTGTGACAGATTTTTTTTTTTAATGCTTAAAAATTGAATTGATAAACAAAATTCCCACTACACTTCAGCAATACAGGTTTTATATTCCTGACGCTGTTGGACCATTGAGATGTAACCAATATGCAAGGATTGAAGTAACCTTAACCTTTATAAACCTAAAAACTTAAGGTTTAAACTGTTGTTACAAAATACTTTAAAACACATGTAAACCATGACTTTTCAGTAATGTTACATTTCATGCAAGGGACAAAAAAAGAAATTGTCCTGTGATTTTTTTGGTCGATCAGTGTCCAGGTAGGGAATGTGATGGTGTAGTTATTTGGTTGGGTTTTTTTAAATATTTTAAGGTTGTTCTTTTTGTTGGTCCTCATTAAAATCTACTTAATTGATAAAATAAAGTGCAAGATTTTATTATAGTTATATTATTATATATTATTATTATTATATTATTATTATATTGAAAATCTACTTAATTGATAAAGTGCAAGATTTTATTATAGTTTTCATCATATCAGAGAACACTGTCACTTGGCTTATTTAATACTGTTATTTGTTGCTTGTTATAGCAGAGGGTACATAAATGCATTTTAAGTACATTAATGTATTTCAGTGTATTTGAAAGTATTTTCAATATTAAGAATCTCTTTATAACCTTAATTTACTTTGTAGCATTTTAAGGAACCCTGTAACAAATAAGAAGCATTACAGATTATATGTGATCCACAAAGTTCCCCAGGTCAGAGTGCTGGATTTTCAGAAAGTGAAACTCAAAGTAAGTCTACTTTCTTCTGATTCAGCAGGAGATAAATACCTTTTTTCTTGTTACACTCTTGGAAATTCAGTGGTAACTGACCTTTTTGTCATAATTGTAAATTTTATCAAAACTGTGTATCATAAGTGGCTCTAAAACATGCTACTTGTTGTCTTTCCTGGTTTCATTCTGTTAAGGAGAAAGTCTGTTTAATTGTGTTTGAGTTTTACTACCTGTGTTTGTTTAATCTGATTCTGGCAGGGGGGTTGATGATGTCCAGGGGTCCCTTCCAACCCCATGTGATTCTGGGATTCTTTTCTGGCCCTCTGGTGTTGATAGAAAGACAAACCTCTATGGAAATTAATGAGCAGAGAGCAGAGCTCTCAGTGAAGATGAGTGTGAGAAAGAGTTCTTACTTTTCATAGAACTGTCTGGGTTGGAAGGGACCTTTAAGATCATCTACTCCAACCATCAACCTCACTCTGATAAAACCCCATCACTAAACCGCGTCACTAAGCACTGTGTCAACCCGTCTTTTAAATACCTCCAGGGATGGTGCCTCAACCACTTCCCTGGACAGCCCCTTTCAAGGCTTAATAACCCTTTCCTAATCTCCAATCTGAACCTCCCTTGGCACAACTTGAGGCCATTTCCTCTTGTCCCGTTGCCTGTTCCTTGGGAGAAGAGACCGACCCCCCCTGGCTCCCCCCTCCTTTCAGGGGGTTGGAGAGAGCCAGAAGGTCTCCCCTCAGCCTCCTCTTCTCCAGGCTGAACACCCCCAGCTCCCTCAGCCTCTCCTCACAAGGCTTGTGCTCCAGACCCCTCACCAGCTTCCTTGCCCTTCTCTGGACCCGCTCCAGCCCCTCAATGGCTTTTTCGTGGTGAGGGGCCCAAAACTGGACACAGCCCAGTGCTGAGTACAGTACGATCACCTCCCAAGTCCTACTCCCCACGCTGTTCCTGACACAGGCCAGGGTGCTGTTGGCCTTCTTGGCTACCTGGACACACTGCTGGCTCATGTTCAGCCGACAGTCGACCAACACCCCCAGGTCCTTTTCTGCCAGGCAGCTCCAGCCACTCTGCCCTCAGCCTCTAGCACTGCTTGGGCTTGTTGTGTCCCAAGTGCAGGACCTGGCACTCGGGCTTGTTATGTCCCAAGTGCAGGACCTGGCACTTGGACTTGTTGAACTTCAACATTTTAAGAGCATTCGGTTGATACATCTTGATTCTGAGCATTTGGGGGATGTTTATGTGCTGCTTGTTACGTCTGGTCTCCACGTACCAATGTTCGCTGATGAAGATGAGCCAAAGCCTCTTTTCTTTGCAAGGACAGAAGCTTTGCAAAATGCAATATTCTAAAATTAACTTTGTGTGTGTGTGGTATCGCTGTAGGAGCGACAGGAGGCAGAGAAAATGTTCAAGGGCAAACGGGGTGCACAGCTTGCAAAGGATATTGCCAGGAGAACAAAAACGTAAGATAAAAAACAAATTTCCACTGGCATTCTCCTTCAGAAACACCACTCTCTTTGTGTGTGCTATCAGGCAGCAAACTGAAATATCAATCACTGGCAGGATGCCTTAAAAGCTTCGGTAGCCAGAAGTGCCTTGTCCAAGCATCCCAATTTTTGGATGGTGGTGAATACGTCTCATAAATATTTTTGAAAGAGAGATTTAGTCAGGGTGGGTTGATTTAAGTCAACAAGCAGGAAACCTTAATTTTACTTTTTTCTTCTGGTTGTTTAACTGCAGAGAGTTGGCCATTGTTTATTTTGCTGGTTTTTTTTTTCCCCTAGATAATTGGTAACTAAAACTCTCTGTTTCCCAGGCAATACAAACTGTAAAATCTGCTGTTATTAGGAGGATAAATGCAGATCAAAATCTTTAGTTAAGCTATTACAAATATGTGTTTGTTTAGTTTAATTCTGAAGTGATACGTTGTGTGTTCTGTTTTAATCCTTCATCAGCCTGTTCTGAAATCAGAATTCGGATCACGTATGGCAACAGCATTTCCAAACTCACAGTTAAATAAAATATCTTGAATGCATTTAGTATTTAAAACTATAATAGGTGGACTCCAGCTCTAGTTTATGAGTGGAACAGGGTTCAGGTCTGTGATAGAACAAGTAGATGAACTTAAAAAGCTTAATAAAGATATGAAGAAAATCTTTTTATGGCTGCAAAAGAGGTTGCTGGGTCAGCACTTCAGGAATTTCTTTCCAGCTGATTACATCCATGTTCACAGACTACAGACTTTTCTTATGGAATAAAATCTTTTTATGTCTGCAAAAAAGGTTGCTGGGTCAGCACTTCAGGAATTTCTTTCCAGCTGATTACATCCATGTTCACAGACTACAGACTTTTCTTAAAGCAGCAGCAGCTAACCTTTTGAGTGCTAAGATTACATCCAGTCTAGTGTAGGCTTTCTTAAAGCAGCAGCAGCAGCTGCTAACCTTTGTGTGCTAAGATTACATCCAGTCTAGTGTAGGCTTTATTTCAGGCTGCTATAATATCGTATGAAGACATAAAAGAACAGGAAACCCAATTTCAGTTACTCTCTTTACCCACCCTGCTTTTGTAATGCCGACAGACCACCCGAGTGTTCAACAACATCCAAATCGAATAGCTTTTGTCAACTGCTTCATTTCTAAAGTTAAAGCTCTGCCTCTCTTTATGAGCAGATGAAAAGGGAGGGAGGATGGGGGGAAATGGGACAGCGAGGACAAGTTGCTGGTGTTTCTGAAGGAGGCAACTCTTCACTGTATCAGTTTGTTAACAAAGATAAGATACTACACTTGATTGAATGAAATGCTTCCAAACCTAGTTTGGGAGTTGGAGAAGCACGTACCCTTCTGAGGGTGTAACGGGTCTTTCTTTTTTTCCTTTGAAGCTTCAATCCAGGTGCTGGTTTGCCAACTGACAAAAAGAAAACTGGGCCCTCCCCAGGGGACGTTGAGGCAATTAAGGTAAATCTGTCAGGACAGCACACATGGGCAAAAGCTGAGGAGAAAAACTGTCATTAATCTGAACAAATGTTTCCTTCCTCCTGGCAGCCCTGACTCTGTTCAGACGAACAGAGCAGCAGGTCCTAACTTTGGTTTAGCTGCTTTTTCTGCAATTTTTTGTCTGTTACAATATATCTGGGTTTTGAGATCTTAAATTTTGGTCGGAGCTTAGAGCTCTCCCAGGAGAGAGCAGCTTGTTTAATAGAAGGGGGAAGTAAGATGGTGCTTTGTCATTTGTAGAACTAGAATTTTGCAGAACTTTCTGTCAAGGCTTAGCTTCGCTTAACTGGGAAACATCTTCTAAACAGACCAAAATACTGTATGTGAAGATTCATCGTGCTCTTTTGTCTGTTTTTCAGACTGCTATAGCAAATGCCACGACTCTGGCTGAAGTGGAGCGACTGAAAGGCTTACTACAGGCTGGACAGATCCCTGGCAGAGAACGAAAATCAGGTCACTGCACTTTTTTTTTTCCCCTTTTATTTCCCAAACAGAATCTCTCTCTCTCTTCATTGCTTCGTACTCCTTTTCGTGACCTCAGTGGGGAGCTATGCTGGGTGGGCCAAACAGTTGGGGAGTTTCAAGAAACTGCTTAAAATGAGCGTAATTTTATAGACTGGATAATCGAGGATGACATCTTTAAGACTCTGCAATCAGCATATTGCCTCCGGGGAGACTTTATTGCAGCCTTCCAATATCTGAAGGGAGCTACAGGAGAGCCTGAGAGGGACTCTTTGTCAGGAAGTGTAGTGATGTGACAAAGGGTAACTGTTTTAAGTTGGAAGAGGGGAGATTTAGATTAGATACTAGAAAGAAATTCTTTCCTGTGAGGGTAGTGAGACATTGGAACAGTTTGCACAGAGAACATTCTGGTGCCCCATCCCTGGAGGTGTTCAAGGCCAGGCTGGATGGGGCTTTGAGCAACCTGGGCTGGTGGGAGGTGTCCCTGCCCAGGGCAGGGGGGTTGGAATTTGATGATCTTTAAGGTCCCTTCCAACTCTAACCATTCTGTGATTCTATGATTTTGGCTGCTGGGCCTCTGGGGTGCTGCAGTTCAGGGCTGTTACACCCAGGCTCCCTCCAGAACCAGGTGCCAAACCTCAGCCCCAAATGCTTCGCTTTATTGGCCAACTCCAAACAGTTCATCCCAACTAGTTAGAAAAAAAAACCAAAAACCCAGATTTATCACAAAGCATATCTGGCCTAGGTTGGTTGTTGTGAGCATTAGCGACTCAGATGGGGGTACAGAAGCATCTCTGTGATCTCAGAGGTCTCTGTGTGGATGAATCTTGACTGCAGGCTGGCAATATCCCCTCTTTATTTATATATTACAGCTATGTTGATCATTTTTTTTCTGCATGTGGTGATTTTGACCGGATTGACCAATCAGAATGACAGATGGCCCCTCCCTCCCCCCTCTAAGGGAAAGGGAGGAGAGGAAGAGAGTTGACCCTTTGATCCCTCAGCTTTTGTACTGAGCATGATGCAGATGGGATGGAACACTCTGTTGGTCAGGTTTGGGTCACCTGTCCTGTCTGTTCATCACCACAGGTGTGACCCCTCTACGTTTTTCCATTTCCAACCCTCCAGTGGGGCAAATAACAAATTTACCTCACCTGGGTTGTTACAGCAATGAGTATAAGCTGGGGCCTCTCTGCACACCCTTCCTTGGTATAATCAGGTCTTACCACTCTGAGAGAAATTTCAGTTTAGTTAGTTTAGAAGAGGCCCAGCTAAAAAAGTAAAACTTGGGTTGTTACAGCAATGAGTATAAGCTGGGGCCTCTCTGCACACCCTTCCTTGGTATAATCAGGTCTTACCACTCTGAGAGAAATTTCAGTTTAGTTAGTTTAGAAGAGGCCCAGCTAAAAAAGTAAAACTCCTGACCAGAAAATTAGTTCTGTTTTACCTCAAACCAGGACACAGCCATATTTTATAGTTCACATTATTACTCTCCCTCTTCAGAGGGGTGAGCATTACCGTTGCCCCGGTGGCAAAGAGCCGATGTTGGCACTAACCCCTGATGTCTCCTTCCAGGCCCGTCGGAGGAGGCTGAGGAAGAAATGGAGGAAGACGCAGTTCCCAACGGATCCTAGAGCCCGGCCCCGCCGCCTCTCCCCGCAGGGGGAACGGCACCGGGGGCAGCTCCCTCCCCCTCTCCCCGCACCCCGTCCTTGTGCATTTCGGCCTTTAATAAACCAACGTTTCGTTTTTCTTCCCGTGGTGCGGCCTCCCCGGTCCCGGCCGGGCTTCTGAGGGGCCGCCATGGCGGCGGGAGGGGGGAGGAGCCCTTCCTGCGCACCCGCGCCTCTTTCCCTCCTCTCATTGGCCGGCAGTGCCGTGCTGTAATCCTCTTTCCTCGCTGCCGATTGGCCGGCGAGGGGCAGCCTGGCGCTCTGGTTGGCTCTTAGCCCCCGAGGTGGCAGTAGACGAGGAGGGCGGTGATTGGTGCAGGCGGGGGGGTGCGCGCGCGGGGCGGCTCCTGGACGTGAGGCGGCAGCGGCGGCGGCGGGCGATGGAGCTGGGGGGCGGCGAGGCCGCGGCGGGCCCGGGGCAGGCGGCGCTGGGCCAGGGCGGCCTGGAGGTCCTGCAGCACACGGGTGAGGGGCCAGGGGGCTGCCCGGTCGGCGGGGAGGGCGGGTGGAGGAGCGGAAAAGGGGGGCCGGACAGACTCGGCCTGTCCGCTGAGGAGAGGCCCTGAGTCCCCGCCGGGCCTTCTCGCCTCTTGGCTGGGCGGGTTCCCTTCCCCCGCGGCTCTGCTCTTACCTACGGCTTGTCCCCCGTCCCAGTGGGCTCCCTGCTGTCCAGTTATGGCTGGTACATCCTCCTGGCCGCTGTCGCCATCTATCTCCTCATGCAGAAGGTCTCGCAGGGGCTGGCGGCCCGGCAGAGCGCCCAGGCGGGAGCAGCTGACGCAGCTGTGGGGGAGTAAATCTTTGCTCTTCGGAGCCGGACGGGGTGGTGCTGGTGTCGCTTCTAGGTTCCCACTAGCGCTCTGTAATCGTGGTGCCTGACAGCTGCTCAGATCCGCACACACACGTAGTCTTTATTTAAAACATCCAGAAAGAATCTCGGAATCACAGAGTTGTCAGAGTTGGAAGGGACCTCTAGAGATCATCCAGTCCAGCTCCCCTGCTAAAGCAGGATTGCCCAGAGCATATCACTCGGGAGCATCCAGGCGGGTCTTAAAAATCTCAGAGAAGGGGACTCCACACCTTCCCTGGGCACCCTCTTCCAGAGCTCTGGCACCCTCACTGGAAAGAAGTTCTTCCTCATGTTTGAGTGGAACTTTCCATGGTCCAGCTTGTGCCTGTTGCCCCTCGTCCTGTCACTGGGAACCACTGCAAAGAGTCCGGCTCCATCGTCCTTCAACCCACCCTTTAGGTACTTGTAAATATAGATGAGGTCTCCCCTCAGCCTTCTCTTCTCCAGGCTAAAGAGCCCCAGCTCTTTGAGCCTTTCCTCGGAAGGGAGGTGCTCCACTCCAGTTCCGAGGGATTTTGATGGTGAGCAATGCTCAGGATAACTTTAAGCCCGTGGAAGCATACAGATGGTGCTACTGAAGAGGTCGCTGGGTAAAGGTTGGACCAGGACAAGTTTTTAAAAGGCTGTGTCAAGGAAGGATTTTGTCCCAAAGTCCTGTGGCTGGGGGAGGAGGAGCAGAGCGTTGCAGAACAAGGGAGTAGCTGGTCTTTGATAGTGCAGGAGCTGAGAGAACCACCTGGTTCAAATGGGTTGTGGTCAGTTAACTTTCAGATTTATCAAAGAAAAACAAAACATCCAAATCTAATTACGGGAAAGCCCTTTTGTTTAATGATATTTTTTTATTAACATTCATCATCTCTCTCCTTTCAGTTAGTCCTTCACACTTCCTACTCAGGCAGGACTGTATACTTTTGGGGTGGGAGTGCCTCTCCTCTGTGTTATCTGCTTCAGTGTGGCATAGGTTGTAAATCTGACACAGTCATGATTCTGCCTCATTTGGAGCCTCGCTGCCGTAAAGCACAGACTATACTTCTGTATCTGCCAAAATGAGAAGTGCTTGGTGCTGGTACCTTTGGCCTGTTGGCATCACGCTACATTAATATTACTCACGTGCCCTTATCCTACTGGTGTTGTTTTGTAATGCTAATTAAATCTTGATTTAATTGCTAAAACTGCCTATAAAATGAAATTACTGAAAGTACTGAAATTTCTTTTACATATTCATCACTGGATGATAACAAACACAAGGAGACAAACAAGCGTAGAGGTACTTCAGCCACAGGAAAAAGAAGAGAGCACTATTTGCCTTTGAATATTATTTTTCTTTTGACTTCTCCTAAAGGCTAGTCATGAAGAGAAGTGGTGACTCAACGTAGATTTTCTGAGACTGCCAGTTTTCTCTTGAGAAATGTGTGATGTTTGTAAGCCATTTCCCTGCTGATGGAGCATGTTAAATCTGCCACTGCTTCACTGCTGTAATGAAATGAGCAGGACCAATTGCCAGAAGGAGTAGGAGTGAATGTGGGCTGGTTGCCTCATACTTCTGCGTAAAAGAAGTTCTCTGGGTAAAAATGGAATCCCTGCAAACAGGGGTGACATTTCTGAAATTAATTGTATCAAGCAAATCCTTCAGCAATAGAAGGAAGTATCCTATGGGTGTGAATTTTAATTTTTTATGTGTTCGTTACATTGGTGTCCTTATTCATTAAAATCCCATTAAAGGTAAGCGCTCTGAAAAATATTAAAATGTTATTAATCTTAAATCAGCATATTAATTACTGTAAAAGATTAGGTGGTAACTGAACTGGAGCTGTGATATTCTGCAAAACAGCTGCAGGGAGAGATGTGAGCCTTTCCTTATTGCAAATCTTTGAGGAGAACATGAAGAATTTATTTTGAATATTCTTGAATTATTTGCAAACTCTTTCCCAATTCCCTAGAACCCGATGTGGTGGTGAGAAGGCAGGAAGCCTTGGCAGCAGCTCGCCTCAGGATGCAAGAGGAGTTGAATGCACAAGCAGAAAGATACAAAGAAAAGCAAAGACAGGTAACCAGCATAGCAATAATATCGCTCATTAATCCTAACTCTTCGTCTGTTTTTACTTTGGCAGTCAGTTACATTCCCACCTCAGTTTATAGCTGATGCTTCAAGAAATACTGACAGTTAAAAAACAATGAAAAGTGGTATTGAGGAAGAAAATAGGCATTATGCAGAAAGTCTAGATCTAGTGCTCTTGGACTTGGGGAGCTTTGCTTTCTTTGACTGGATGGAATAGCTGCCTCATTTCCTTTCTATTTTTCGAGAAGAAGGCAGTCTGTCTTAACCATTAATTTACTTGGTTTTGTGGAGAAATTGCTTTAGAAGAGAGCTGGGAGAATTGTTGATAATGTCTATTGGGATGTAAATATGTAGCTGGCTATTTTCTTCATTTGAAAAACACATTTTATTCTGTAGAACCCTACATGGTGCATTAATATCATATGCAATATTTTTTACTCAGCACTTCTTATAAACTCAGGACTTGAGCTTGCCACTTCATTGTGGTTTACTCTCAAAATGTTTTTAAGCATCAAGTGGTGAAATGGAGCTGCAGACACAGCCTGTGTGTATTGAAGAGGGGTTGTTGCTCTGTGGTTGGGAAGGTGTAGGTGTTTAAAAAAAGTAAATGCTTCCATAACCTTGGAGATACTGCACCAGATAAAGATAGATCCTTTGGGGTTTGATGTGTCTGTTTTAACTGTTTCTGTAGCAATTCTATTAGTTCTGAAATCTTAGTCTTGTGTACCCTGGATTTGTTCCTTAGCTTGAAGAAGAGAAACGAAGGCAGAAGATAGCAATGTGGGAAAGTATGCAAGAAGGAAAAAGCTATAAAGGAAACCTGAAACTGAGTCAGGTAATAACTGTGTTGTTAATCACGTTGCAGTTATGTTTTTGTGATTAGATTAGCTGACACTCGACGTTGATTAAATTCTGAGTAACTTTTGCTTTTGTGAACAGCAAGAAGTAGAATCTGGTGCCTCCACCTCATCAGCAGTCCCGAAATCTAAACCAAACAAAAAGCCCTTGCGAGGAGGTGGTAAGTATGAAACTCTTAAGATATTCTGAGCTTGAAACAGAGCACTTACCCAGCTGCGTACGTAGTCATCGTACGTATGTTTTCTCCTCTTCAAGGAGGAAACAAAATGTGCCTTACAAATGAGCTCGTTGCCTCTAATCAACGTGGTCTGCTTTGTGAAAAACTTAGCAGCGTGCTTCGACGTTGCTTTTCAGGGCAGCAGGGTTTCAGTTGTCTTATAAATGCTTTTGCCATATTTTACTGAGATTTTTGTCACTCAAAATTATAGATTCTTAGAAGATTTCTGGGATCTCTCCCCCATTATTGTAAAAGTCCAATAATTTAATATCTGGTCTGTCTTTCAATCGCCTGTAGTCCCAACTAAATGCAGGCAGAGGATATTTCACTTTGTATAATATAGATTCAGGAAGATGAAAGACTTCATTAAATAAAATGTGACCTTTTTTTATCAGGTATCACAATAATGACCTATTGAATATATAAATCCTGCAGATATATAAAGTCTCACAAACTGCCAGAGGGTCTTGCCATTAAACTCACTTTCAGCCACTGAAATCATCTTGGCTGAACTGCTTTCTGTGGCCTTACAAAGCCCACGTGAGGATCACTGCTCTGCAGCTGGTCTCCTTTCTCTGCTGTGCCATAGCTGCAAGGGCTAATTTGGGTATAATATTTTAATTACAATTTTCCATAGTGGAAGATTCTTGATTAAACATATTAAACCTCAATAATAGCTCAGTGCTGAAAGTTTTGAGTATTTTTACTGACAGCTGTTGACAATTTCTGAAGGCACTTGACTGATTGATTCATCTTGCACAGTTTGAGTGCAGTCTAAGGTCTGATGCTGTCAAATAGCCTTTATAGCTCTTGCATGGGATATTTACCACCATGGGGGATGAGAAATCCATGGGAATAGCTGTGGATCAGGGCAGCTGGGCTGAGGCATCCTTCCAGCAGCTACCTGTCCCAGTTTCATCCGAAGGGGAATCTTTGCTTAAGTAACAGATGATAAAATTAGAGGTCTCTGATCTTCTCCTGAGGTAGATCAGCACAAAGTGAAAGAACCATCTGCACTGTTCAGCTGCTGAATGAAGCTAGAAAACAGAACCAGGCTAGTTTTATGAGAAAAACAAACTTGAAAGATGGAGGTGAT